AAAGAGAAAGTCCAACATTAAACATCAAAATATTGAAAACAGGACTTTGAAAACAGTAGGACATTTAATTTGTACCACTATCCAGAGGAAAGGGACTTACAAGTTAGTAGGATAGAAAGTGACAACCTGTGAAAAGTACTGCTTCTAGAGGAAAATCATTATATAGAGGATGGTGCCTCTGGGGGATATGGCACCTTGTTTCTTGAAGGGAAATAAAGAAACAAGAATGTATTTAAAATCCTATAGGAAAAAAAATGAAACACCAAAACACCTCCACCTGCAGTGACACAATAACATCATTGATGAAAGATCCTGCATTTCACTATTCTTCAGGAAAGAGTGCTCTTGAATTAGGAACCCTATCCAAAAAGTGCCTAGGAACAGAGAAAGTAAAACTACCATATGAAAAAAATGAAAGATGCATTACAGCCGATAAAATTTTCTCCCTTCGCTTCTCCCCCAAAAGACCATGAAATAAAAGAAAAGCATAAGATAATACTTCAAACTGAGTTAAAGAGAATCAAGTGTGTATTTTTAAATTTAAATTAAAATAAACTAAAACTAGATTTAAAAATTGAAAACTCAGAATATTAGAAAAATAGGAAAATATTCATAGGAGGTAATTAAACACAGGAAAGAAACTGACCCAAAAGCAAGCCATCTCAGAAAAGAAGAATAAATTACAATGTGCCCAAGAGAGAAAAAATTCAATTAAAATTTTAGTAAAGGATGTTCAAAGAGTTAAATACCAAGAGAAAGAACATAAACTTTGGAAAAACAGCCAAGTATGGAAGCACACATCTATAATGCCAGCACTCAGAAAGCATAGGCAGGAGGATAGCCATGAGTTTGAGGCCAATCTAGACTACATAGTGAATTCAAAGCCGGCCTGAATTACACAGTGAGACCCTGTCTCAAAAAAGCCAAAAGAAGAAAAAAGAAGAAAATGAAAAGATTTAAAAGAACAAAGGAGGGCCAGGGATTTAGCTCAGTGGTTCCGCCACCTGCCTTGGAAGCACAAGGTCCTGAGTTCGATCCCTGGTACCAAAAAAAAAAAAGCTACTTGCGAAATGTTAAGACTAATAAGAAAAAAAAAAAAAAAAAAAAAGAACAAAGGAGTGAAAGAAGTCAGAGGAAAAATGTATAAAGTTAAAAACAGGCAAAGAAAGTCCAACAGACATGTAATTAGAGCCCTACAGAAGACACACAAAACATTACAGACCAAAATATTTAAATATACTCAAGTAAAATTTTCTGGAAATGAGAAATACATTTCACATATTGAAATTTCCTATTAAATATATATATGAGGGCACGTATACAAAAAGATCAAATTATTTATAAGAGTAAGAAAGTCATTCTGTATGAGGCTTATCATGGGCAACATATGAAACAAAATGGACAGCATTCTCAAGAACTTTTTTAAAAGAACAGTAAAAAGTTTTCTACCTACTTAAACTGTTCTTTAAAGCTATAGAAAACAATTCTGAATGTGCAGAACTCAGAGAACATAACGTTCTTGAGAAATAGAGGATGATCTTTATCGAACCAATAAATAATTGAGAAAACTTCAACAAAGGAACTATAGTAAACATTTAATGTTCTTAATTATAGAACTAAAACCAAACTAAACAATGAGGACAGTGGTGTAAAAAAATAGTATGTGAGCATTGTATGTTCTAATAAAGTACATGAAAGTGGCTAAATAATATGAATAGAAAGAAAAGTAGAAAAAGATCATTTACAAGTAATATGTGGGAATAAAAGGATATCATTTGAAATTGACAGATCATATTATAAATAATTAAGTAAAAGAACTAAAGGATCTAAAAAGGTAACTGGTAGAAAAATGTAAATTATTCTAAATATCAAAAGGAACATTTTTTTTAAGTAGCAAAAATATATATGACAAGAGAAAAAAATAAATATAATATCCCATACATAGTAAACTATAACGTGAACTATTGTAATAGTGTATTGTAACACCAAACTACTAGTCATATCAATAAACATGGCATTACCCTGCCTGTTTAAAAAAAATTCTGATTTGTTCATAAAACCTAACTATATAAAACAAAGATATCTAACACAGTAATCTTAAAAGTTAAACATAAAAGTGTGGACATAGAGGTACAAGTTGTCTTAGTTATTTGTCACTGACACACAATATCCAACACCCACAAATTTAAAAAAGAGAAATTTATTTTGGCTCACAGTTTGTAGAAGTTTCTGTCCATAGTCAGCTGGCTCCGAGGTGGAGTGGCATGGCAGAGGAGAAACAGATCATGGTGTGGCAGGCAGGAAACAGAACAGAGATCAAGGAGGAGGGAGGGAAATAGGTCCTACCAGGCTACACCCAGTGACCCACCTCTTCCAACCAGGCTTCATCTCCCAACATCACATTTGGCAATAAACTTCTCAGTGGACTGATCCACTGATGAGTATCATGTACCCATGATCCAACCACTTTCCAAAAGCCCCACCTATAAGCAAAAGAAGCTTTAGGGGGACATCTAGATATAAACCACAGCATAAGTCAAATAGAAACAAAAAGAAACCAAGGGTGTCAACCCTTATTTAAAATAGGATCAGGTCAAAAAGCACTAAATAAGAAAATAAAAGATAATGTGTAATGCTAAAAACCAGAATTCACCTTGAAGATAGAACAGTTATGAATATCCGTGCACTAAATAATATTTTTAAATACTGCTATGGTTTGGATACAATATGAATTTGTCCCTCAGGGGTTCATGTGTGGGAAGAAGGTAGAAATGTTGAAAGTTAGTATGTATCTTTCTAAGAGGGGCCTAATAGGAGGTCCTTTGGTTATTGAAGACACTGCTCTTAGGAAAAACCAGAATATTTCTTGTCAAACCATGGCTAGTTCTCTGGAGAGGACTGTTATAAAAGCCTGAGCCTGGACCCATTCTTTGGAAGTTTTGTTTCTTTCTTTTTTTTATTGGTGCTGGGGATCAAACTCGGGACCTTGCACTTGTGAGGCAGGCAGTGAAATCACTGAGCTAAATCCCTCTCCCTGGATGTTTCTTTATGACAACTCTTTAGGAGCCCTGTTGCGTAATTTGATCTCTCCCTCCTGCAAGGAAGTATTCCTGCCACCACCTATGAGGTCTTCACCAGAACAAAGCTAATACAGGCACCATGCCTTTGAACCTCCAGAACTGTGAGTGAAATAATCCTTTTCTTTACAAATTTAGCCTGCCTCAGGTATTTGTTCTAGTAACAAAAAATAGACTAATGTAACCACATATACAAATAAAAACTTATTCATGATCCAAGGCAAAAAGATGAAAGTTCATAAATAAGAAAACTGAATACTTTATGTACTACTTTCAGTAAAAAAGCAATCAAATTAAAAAACTGATATAGAAAATCTAAACATTATCAATAGGATATACCTTATAAATAAGTATAACAGTGTAACTTGGTAATAAAGAATATATTCTTTCAGAATACATACGAAAAATTTGCCAAAATTGGTAATATGTTTGAGGAAAAAGATATATTTCATTGATAAACAAAACATCATATAGTTACATAAAGTAGAAATATTATAAACAACACACATCAATCACAATGTACTAAAACTAAAAGTGCAAAATTATGATAGAAAAGCCTTCACACTTTTTATTTTGTTAAACAACTTCAAAAGGTGAAAGTAAATTTAAACAGAAAAAAGAGAACTTCTGAATAACATTAATACAAATAGTACATATCAGAGTCTGTTGGATACATATAAAGCAAAGATGAAAAGAAAATCAATAAGCTTAAACATATATATTAATTAAAATGAAAGAACAGATCTAAGTAAATAAAATTCTCAGTTCAAACACATGCAAAAAGAGCAACAAAGTAAACCAGAAATAAACAATAATAGGGAAGACAAAGATAAAAGAAAAATTAATGGCCCAGAAAATTGAAAACAATACATCAAAATTTACAATCAAAATTGTGGTTCTTTGATAAAAATTAATAACTTAATAATGAGATCTCTTCAGGCAAAAACCCAAGTTTATACAAATTTCATTTATGTTTAATATATACTTTATACACAGAACCTGAAGGTAATTTTATACAATTTTTTTATGCTCCCCTTACAGAAAATCAGGTATGGAACTTCCTACTCATGTCATGCTGGTACTCAAAATGTTTCAAATTGTGGAGCACTTCAGATTTAAGATTTTCAGGTTAGAGATGCTCACCCTATATTTGACTACATAAAAATATTTTTTAAAAAACATTTCTTGGGCCAGGGATTTAGCTCAGTGGTTCTGCCTCCTGCCTTGAAAGCACAAGGACCCGAGTTCGATCCCTGATACCAAAAAAAAAAAATAAAGTAAAACAATTCTTGACATAAAACACCATAAGCAAAATCAAATGACAAATCAGGAGAAAATTACATAACATATATTACAGATAAACGGCTGTTTTCCCTGATATAAGAATTTTTTTAAAACTAATAAAAATCCTACAGAAAAGTGATGAGTACTCATAAACAATACACCAAAAAAGGAGGGTTAAAATGACTCTAGCCATATGAAAAATTGTTCAATTTCACTCAAAATAGTTAAAAATTACACTGAGATACCATTGTTCATCCATTAAACTGGCAAAAATTCAAAAGATTAACAATATACTATTTTTTTTCCATTCTTTTTTTATTAGTATATGTTTTCAATACATACATTCATCATGGAGAATAGTCTATTTCTCTATTTGCTGTCATCTTTTATTTTGCTTCTAAATTATTTATACTTTGGGTTTCTCATATAAGTGAAACCATGTGATACTTGAACTCCTGTATTTGATTTATTTCACTTAGCATTATGGTCTCAAGGTGCATCCATTTTCCTACAAATTACTCAAAACGTTCCTTCTTTATTGCTGAGAAGTACTCCATTATATATATATATATATATATATATATATATATGTATTTATTCATATTCATCTCTTGGTGGGCATGTAGGCTGCTTCCAAGATTTAGCTATTATGAGTTGTGGTGCTATAGACATGAGTATGCATCACTGTAATATGATGTCTTTCTCTTTCAAAAAGATACCCAGAAGAGGTATAGGTGGGCCAAATGGAATCTCTACTTTTTGTTTTCTGAGGAATCTTCATCCTTATTTTCAAAGTGGTTCCACTAGTTTAGATTCCCACTAAGGCAGAAGGATTCCTTTTTCCCCACAACCTTATCACCATTTGATTTTTTGTTGTTTTGGTTTTTTTTTTAATTTGTGATGATAGCCATTCTTTCTCAAGTATGATGGAATCTCAGTGTTATTTGATTTGCATTTCTCTAATGACCAAAGATGACAAGCACTTTTCCACGTGCCCATTGGCCATTTGTATTTCTTCTTGCCCATTTTTTGGGTTGGGTCTTTTATCTGGGAGTGTCAATTTTTTTTTTTTGAGTTCTTTATATTTTCTAGAAACTAGTCTTTTATCTGAGGAGTAGCTGGCCAACTTTTGTTTCCCATTGTGTAGGTTTTGTTAACTCTGTTGGCTTTCTTTGCTGTGCAGAAGCTTTTTAATTTGATAGAGTCCCATGTGTTGATTGTTGTTACTTATTCTGACATTGGAGTTTTGTTCAGAAAGTCCTTGCCTATGCCTATGTCTTCAAGAATTTTGCCAATTCTTCTTACAGTAGATTCATGTTTCTGTTTTTATATAACTCTTTGATCCATTTTTATTTGATTTTAGTGCAGGGTGAAGAGATATGGGTCTAGATTCATTCTTCCACATGTGGATAACCAGTTTTCCCAGCACTGTTTGTTAAAAGGTGATCTTTTTCCAGTGTATGTTTTTGGTCCCTTTGCTGAAGATTAGATAGCTGATGGTGCCTGGGCTTGTTTCTACATCCTAAATTCTGTTCCATTGATCATTTTGACAGAAAATAATTTATGTATAACACCATGGGAATGCAAAATGATACAACACTATGAAGAGAATTTTAATAATATCTAACAAAAATACATATATATATATATCCTTCAAACCAACAAGAATTTTATCCAAAAGTTATACCTCTAACAAACAGTATAAGGTTACTTGTTGCCACATTATTTGCAACTGAGGATATCAAAAAGTATCTAAAAGCTACAACATATAGATTGAATGACTAAATTATGCTACAAACATACAATGAAATATGAAATAGCAGTAAAAAAGAATGAAGAAAACCTCCATGGATTGATAACGAAGTGATTCTCATATAAGTATAAAAATGCATAGTATAGTATGCTACCTTTGCATAAAAAGAATTGAAAGTAGGAAACATAAAATATGCTTGTTTTAAAAAAAACAATTGGTTACTTACAAAGAAGGGGAATGAAATGAAAAGAATAGAAAACGGATTAATTAAACTTAAGTATGCATTTTTACAAGCATGTTAATGATCTAGGTATTCAAAAAATAAAAGTAAACAAAAGGAAAACTCATAAAACCTAGAATTATGTACAAACAGAAACAATTAAAACAAGCTGCATTTAAAATAAATGATATATGGGGCCAGGGATTTAGCTCAGTGATTCTGCTACCTGCCTCACAAGCACAAGGATCTGAGTTCAATCCCCAATACCAAAAATAAATAAAATAAAAATAAAATAAATGATATAAGAACCCCACAGGAGAAACAAAAAACTAACCAAACTTACTTTTGTGCAAAAGAATTGCAAATAAATTTTGAACTCAGTAGGTTTGCTTCAGTGGTGATAAATGTGTCTGAATTCTGAAATTATTTTATGTGCATTGAAATGATAAGCAAATGAATAAATGTGTTAGTATTGCTAGAAACCAAAGTTCTCACTGTAGAAGATACATGCATATATATAATAGAGAAAGGCTTGCAAAAATCATAGTGAATTTGGATTAAAATTAGATTATAAACATGAGTGTATTTCTAATATACAAACATACCTGCACACATGCACACACTCATGCACACATGTATGCACACACATTCTATCTACTAAAGAGGCTTCACAGCAATATGAAAATTTAATATCCCATCTTAGTTTCTAAACACCATACTCTACTAAATAGAAACAAGAGCTACTTGCAGAAATGCTGATTCTAGGTCGAGGGCAGAAAAAGTTCAAGATCAGTTTTAAACAATGCCATACAGTAAGAAAGTACTCAAAACAATGTTGCAATCATGTCATAAAGACCTAAGATTCAGCTTGAAGAGCCTACTGCTGACCAAATATGGGACAATATGAGAATGAAAACAAACACAGTTAAGAATTATAATCCATTGTCTAAAATGGGAATTCATGCATACATACTGATACTAAATGATCAAGAGATAAAGCTTTTAGATATATTTTACTAGAATATTAATTTCTTTTATTATTAATAATAATGGACTTCAGAACTATTTTTCTAGGAAATGTCTACCCATATCCTTTATTTGTAAGATTATAAATTCTCGCTCATCATGTGTATATATACATAAACCTTTATTATATTTGAGACTATTTTTTCTAATCTTTATTTTCCTTTTAACAAATGATAGTGCTTATTTTAAGAACTTCTGCTAGTGGCTGTACATTAAGAAAAATAACTCCTTATTTACATTATATTCTTTCAAAAATATTCCTTAATTTATCCTCAAAAAATAACAAAAAACATCCTTCTCAAAAATACCAAGAAGACACCACTCATGCTGAAATGGAAGAAAAGAATCAGAAAAAAAAGGAGGAACACTGTGAGGGTTAATGAGAGAAGAGCTGAATTCCCTCTGTTGTGCCTTAAACCATTCAACTGCAATAGTGAAAGACACCAGAAGAGAAAAATGTGATCCTCTTTCTCAGAGAAATTAATTACTTTCCTAGATTTGAAACCTTTCCAATGAAAAATTTCCTGTTGCCCAGGAGCACCTTCCTAATTAATGATCTTTAGTTTTTCAGGTAAGCTCATGCTACCTAACTCCCTTCTCAGCTCTTGTTGAAAGAAGCATTTAAGGTGTGACCTGAAGGCGAAAGAATAGGAGAATTTACACGGAGGAAATGAACTGGCAGTTGGCGTCTGTGTGGTGCACTCATCTGTGTGTACCCATTAGATAGGGGGCTACAAGGATCTTTGCCCTCTGGCTCAATGAAGAAAAGTATGTGCTGACTCAAAGCTCCAGCGCACTCCTGAAAAACCACTGCGCAGTTAACTTCTAAATTACTGAGAACAATTGTAGAGATCAATAGAAAACAGCAAGCTCTGAAGACATTTCCTACAGCATAATTTGAAGAAGTAGAATACAGGAAGCAGTGAGCCAGAAAAAATCAGGTCTTACTACTAATTAGAAAATTTTCTGAGCTTTCTCTCTCAAGGAAATCAGTTCGTCAGTTAAAGGACTAATTTGAAACATGGTTGGTTTATAAATTTTCATTTAGATTGAAAAAAATTACAGCCAGATATTTGAACCAACACTCCAAATAAAATTGTGAGACTGATTAATTACTTACTGTTAATAAAATTGTAATGGAAAATTGATTATTCACTAGTAGTTAAAAGCTGTTTTCCACATGTCAGAATGAAGACAGTCTACAGAGCAGAAAAAAACATAGTACCCACTAGAGTATCTCCTTTAATCAGAAAAGGGAAAAATAGGCTTAACACTGTGTCCCAGAAACATAATTTCCTCTCTTAAACTTTGATTTTATTACATTTCCTTGTAAGAACTTAATAAATGCTTAAATTGTGTTTAGGTATTAATCCCAACTATGAAAGCAACCTTTTTATTTTATAGGTTGACTCTGTTTGACCCAGTGTGGAAATGATACAAAGATTATAATATGTGCATGTATATATGTGTGTAGTTTTTTTTTTTTAATAAATAGTTTGGGAGCCATTTTTGCCTTTCCTATCTAAGGAAAATCCTGCCTCACCTCTACTCAAATCCACCCATCTCATTCAATTTTTTATCTGTGGTTCAAATGTTCACACTGATGTGATATCCAGGAGTTACAGTGCCCTGAGACTGTTTCTGCCAAAACTAATTCTTTTAAATAAAAATAAAATAAACTATCCTTAAGCAGATCAGCAGCACCAACTTTTCTCATCTTTAGAAGAAATAAACCTTACAGAAATAGACTGCCAGTATGTTTGCAGACTTGCTATCTTTCTTCAAAGAATAGCACACCTCCCGCCATGACTAGTTTTACCATTTATACTAATACTTCCATAATCCTCCACCCTGGTGCAGTCTCAAAATGTAGTCTAATTTGAATTTCTCACCATTGCTTTCATTCTTCCCATAGCTCAGATCACATTCTATACATAATTCCTTCATATTATCTTAAATATTTCTATAATTGCAAAATTAAAATTCAGATCCATGTTCAATGGTCTTTTTCTTCTATTTCTGAACTCAATTTATCCTCTCATTTTTGTGATTCAAGTTACGTATTATATGTTTACATTTTGCTAAATTTTTAATAGTTGTTACAAAGAAGTATGTAAATACAAAAACAGTAACATGAGTCAATAGAAATTGTAAATATAAATTGTTGCATATTCTAAGGACATTTAAAATTTTTTCTGATACGTTTTGGGCTGACTGAATACTAATACATTGTTTTTATTACATAATTAAATATATTTGCTATAGAAAATTAGAAAAATACAGATAAGCCTAAATAAAATGAAAATCTCCTTAATCCCACTAAGATGAGTGCTCTTAACATTTGGTAAAGTCCTTTCAGATTTTTCCCATTCTTACAAATTTTTTTTAACAATACTGGGACTCTTAATGAATGATGTCAATAAACGTATGATTTATGTCAATAAATATACACAAAAAACATATTCCTTTATGATTACATTCTTTGAATTTTATGAATATCTTAATTTAGTTATCCAAACCTTGAGATTTTTAGATATTATACCTGTCTCCATTTTTACAGGTAATACTGACTAAATGATTGCTTTACAATAGTTAATGCATACTGACCAGGCTGCTCTTAAAGCTTAATATTGTATCAAAACATCAGCAATAATGTTTCATTCTTACAGGAAACCTTGCATCCTAACCTGAAATCCAGCTAAATACATTTTTTATTGTACTACAGCATTTAGTTCTTCGGGCTCATTTGCTATCAATTAAGGTGATAAGCAAGCACTCAAAAGCTAGCTTTTCAATTATGTTTTCTAACTTCAACTGAAATGTTCCTGTCATTGCATATCATGTAGTAATTTTGAAAAGGCTTCATCTTAGCAACCAAGTGATAACTTTAAAATCAAGAATCTGAACCAATTAATTCCTAACATTAATTACTTATTTTAAAACAAAAGGCACTATAAAGTGTCTGAAAATATACTTTTTATCCTACTAATGGTCCTTATCTTCTTTTTCCCCCAGCTCACGATTCTGTTGAAAACTCATGCTCAGACTCAAATCATCATTCAAATCATAATTAAAGCATAATTCTGAGCTCTCTTTGTACATGCTAATTCTACCACCACCAGATGCAAAAGCCACACAGAAATTCATATAGAGTATTATTAGCTTGCAAGGAGCAGAATTAAGATGCATAAAAGTATCTTCTATAGTAAGTAAATATTTTGGTTTTAATTACATTATTACCTTGTTTTATGCTGCTAATTACAATTTATTATATAATTGACTCTCAGAGAAAAATATTACCAGAGCAGTTCTGCAGTCTTAAACTGAAGATAGTATATACTAATAATTTTGCCTAACTGCTCACTTCTCTTAAAAAAATATGTGAAATATTTTCGTAATAGTCTTGATAAATCTCTTCCCTGTTCTCCCACTAAGATAAAAAGTTATTGTATACTCCTGTTATTTGCTGATTTATTTCTCTATAAATCACAAGGCAATAAAAAATTGTATTCACAAGCCAGGGACATATTATTTGTCTTTATTCCCTAGCACCCAGCTCAGAATTTAAAACTTAGTAGATGGTCAATAAATTTTATGAAATAAGTTAATGAATTAATCATTTAAAGGATTCCTTTAACTTGCCATCATAAAAGTATTATTGTTGAATCCTAGTATCCATTTCAGTCTTTATAGATTAACAACCTCAGCCTTTAGAGCAAAAGACTGAACATTAGAAATAATAATAGTTTGCCATAGATTGAAAACAAATGAACTCATTCTGAGACTCAGCAGTCATTCATAAGCTACTTGAGCTGCCTGCCCTCTTACCGTTTATGACTTCAGTCAAGGCTTTCTCGTGAAATATAACCTATGTTCACTCTGGGGCCATCTATTGTTCTGTCTGTAATTTGTACCAAAATTTAAAGGTTATAAATACTTGCCATGAAGCCTAGTTGCTGAGCTGCATTCATTCACACATGCGTGTCTTTTTTCTTTCATTAACAATGAGACTTGGGACTGGCATTTACTTACTTCATAATAACCTGATCATACATACCTTTGAACTCAGGATGTTCTTCAAATACCATGATTTATTATGTCCTCCTTGGTCACATAGCAGTCAACCTCATCAAATTCAACTAGGCTAGCCTCATTCTCCCAGGAGTGGTAGCTAGCAATAAAAAGTGAAGAGTTATTTCTTACATGAAACTATATATGCTTGGAATTCTTTTTAAAATTAAAAAATTCTAATAAATTATATTGCAAATGACAATGAAATGAGTGAAAATAAGCAGAGTTAAGTGTATAAATTTTCTTTACTACTTCTAAGCCTATTTCCATCTTATTGCTGTGCTTTTTGTTTAATTCCTCTTGAACTAACGTGCCCTCTAATGGTTAAAATAAAAACATAATCAGAACCAAAACATAACTGTCAACTTATTAATTGCAAGGAATATTTATATTTAAAAGATTCTTCTTTGACTTGAACCTATGCCTTTTAAATTAACATAGATGTATTTTAATATGTAACAGGAAGAATAAGCATCTTTTTGGTTTTGTATTATAGACAATACAAATGAGGTATAGCAAACAGACTTTCATCAAATAGATTCAAATGCTAGTTCCTATTTTAAAAATAGTGAGAATTTGTAATGATGTCTATAATTAAGTCTCACGTGTGTTAAAGTTGAAATATAGGTTGGGGTGATACTTATTCTAATATATTCTAATATATTCTAATATTTCATTTAAGAAAATATATTACTCTAAAAATAGATTATTTTGGTTTTTCATTTTTATTTCTCTGATGTAAAATGAATATCTGTCCCCATCACTTCCAGAAGATATGTGTACACAAAAAATCTTAAATAACTATGCTTTTATGTTCATGATTTACCCTCAGTGTTCATGCTCTTTTACTTTTGGTTATACTGTAATATCAGAAAATAATAGATATTTTAAAATAACCTAGATACATCATGTACAGGTACAGCACCCAATGATAAATGTAAACATATTGTATACCTAAAATGTACCAATAAAAGAATTTTTTTAAAAATTACCCAGTTAATGTGACCAGTAGTAATTGTCTATCAAGAAAAGGCAGGGATTCAGGGAGAGAATTGCTTGAATAGTTTAGCTTGACTTACTATATTTGGAAAAGTTAATGTATTTGTACATCATTAGTTCTAATAAGAATTTTATCACAATAGAAAAACATGTGTGAAAATATATTTAATTCTGTCTATCCAGAAGAGTAGAACTGAAATCAAAGACAAACAGAAAACATGCTTTAAAACTTTCTCCCTTGTTTAACCATCATTGTTAGTACTTTAGATAATTTGCTTCTTGTTAAAATGAGACAGAATTTTCAAGACCTTTCTAATTTTTGATGAAAAAAACCACAATATTTTCCCTGCCTCAGAAATTAAAGACATTATTTTTCCTAGTATATACTTGGGGTCACTGTCATTGAGGTGAACTGACCTGCCAAGACTGCACAAAATCTGTGATGAAAACAAGATTAGAATCTAGAATTATTTATGCAGTTTGCTGATTTGTGCTTGTGCCTTTCATACATCACAGGAATGTGTTATTTTATTAGACCAAAAACCCCTACATTTTCTTGAATTAGATTTCTCCCTTTATCATTCAGCATTCATTTTACAGATATACACACTATATTTTATATATTACATAATATTAATTTTGTAAGTGAATACAAAAATGTTGAAAAGGCTGCAGGTTGAAGGATGGGAAACCTGGATTCTAGTTTGGTTTGTCTACCAAGAGTCCTTGAGCAAAGGCATGAAAGACTCTAATTTCTTCAACCCATAAACGAGACAGTTGAATTAGATGATCTCTGAGCTTACTGCTAATTTAAAACTTCAGGTTTTTAAAAATTAATTCCCTTGTATATATAATCTAAAATTATAAGCTAGGCGTGGTAGCACATTCAGGAGGCTGAGGCAAGAGGGTCACTGTGAGTTCAAGTGTAGACTGAGCTATATAGTGAGTTCAAGGCCAGCCTAAATTACGTGGCAAGGCCCTGTCTCAAAAAATTTTTTTTAACAAAAAAATAAAATTATAAGCTATCTTTTAGTATTTTAAGTTAATGTACAATTTTTTCTTTTACATTTCATTATGCTTGATCATTTTGCAAAAATAATAATAATGTTCATGGCAGGATAAAATATATGATGAAAGTATTTTTAAACTATAACTACTGAGAATTAAGGTAAGTAACTTTTAGGACCATTTGCCATGTTTACAATATTTTTAAGTTATGCTTTGTCTTGGTTGGTATATGTTCCTAACTTTATACATTGAAGACAGGAATTATTTCTTCCATATTAGCTCATCATGGTACCACTATTCATTTAAAGAGGTCCTCAATAAGATTTCCCAGCATAGTCAAGATTGAAATTTACCAGTTTAATAAATAGAATAGAACTGGGATCAAGTTGAGTAAATTATGAATAAAAGAGGTGAATAAGTATGTTCTCATATTCATGAAGGAAACTTAGATACAATATGCCAAGGGATTTTAAACTATATATTGCAAATATATATTTACACCAAAATCTACATAATGATAAATGATTGGAACTAGAGATATCTTGGTAATAAAGGTAAAAATAATAACCAAAAATATCCACAAAACTCACATTAGTATGTAGAATTAGAACTGGTAGGATATTACTCTCAGTTCTTCCTTCTCAAAATTTCCCACTATGAAGAAAGCTGAAAATCAAGGAATAATCAGTCAAATGGTTCCTCTCTGATTTTTCAGCACAGCGTTAGCCAACGCTGGGGTCTCCAGGTTAGTAGCCACAATAGGCTATGCCCACCCAAATAGCCTCAGTGCACTGACTAGAAAACCCCTTTGTCGGTGTTACCACCAGCTTTCTTTCACCCTTTTATTTTCTGGAAGCAAGAGGAATTGTTTCCCTCTTACCAACAAGAATGAAGGCATCACTGTGAATATAGCTTATATGTAGTTTGAATCAATGGTCAGGAAATTCCATTCACTACCTTTACACCTCACTTCAGTCAGATGTTACATTTACTGCTCATCTGGGCTCACAACATGATTATTATTCCTGCTTCTTTAACATCATGTGTAAGACTCACACATCAGGAAGCACACTGAAGGTCATTCAAAACTGTAGCCTAATTCTTTAATTTCTAATCTCTGATATCAGATGATTTGTCTTGATCTCTAATCATCTACTTCACAATCTTCTACTCTGGGCTACTAACTCTTTCATTTTGAAGATTTATTCAGCCCTTCAAATGTTACTGCCATTGAGACCAGCCCCCACAACCATCAATACCAAAGGCAAGAGATGCAAAATAAGGCACCCGTTAAAATATGGACCTGAGAGCCAAAATACCTGTGTTTAAATCCCAGATCTTTTATTTACTAGTTTTGGGACTGTGGACAAGTAATATAGCCTCTCAAGGTCTTCACTGCCTCACCTATAAAATCAAGACAAGTGTAGCAACTTCATAGGGTTATCCTAAAGATTAACCATGTTTCTATAAATAACATGCTCAGAATAATGTCTGGCACATAAGTGATCAATAAAATCTTTGCTATTTTTAGAATGGTGAATTTAACTTATTCTCTTAGTCATAATGGCAGAACTCCAAACCAGCAAGTAAATTAATTTTAATGACTCAACCATCTGGCTATATTTTTATAATCAAGGTACTCATAAATCCTAGTTTCATTATTATACCTGTTGTCCTGGGATAATTATTAATAGTAATTCCTTTTATTCTCAACAGTGTCCAGGTTTGGAGAATAAAGTATGTAATCATTCTAATTATAATATAAAGTGTTTGGTTATTCTCCTGTTCAATTAAAGAATGACTAATATGGCCTCTGAGATCATGTAAAACATAGAGGTTTTGTGAAAATATATAGGTTATACATAGAAATATTTGGGTCTTTTGTAAATGAACTTTAAAATCTTATAAAGTACTACATTATTACTGTTGGTTATGTTGATATAATTTGGTAACTGTATTAAACATTTTAAATAGAGCATAAAATGATGAGCATATTGAAAGCTACTTTCATTTCACTTTTTTTAAATGTATGAAAGTCTCTGGAACTGTTTCCTCATTCTCCTTCACCTGGTCCTCTTCCTTCCTTGTTTTCACTATCCTCTCTTCTGGAAGTGAGGTGAAGAGACTGGACAGGAAGAAAGAAAGAGCTTCTTTTCCCTCCCTAAACACTACCTTTTACTCCATTACATCAGAGTTCCAAATAAAGATGGCCATTCTCCAATCCAAGCCTAACAAGCAGTCACTCCTAAACAAATATTAACTGAACTTCTTAAATATAGGGGAGAAAAGAAATAGATTTATAAGAGTCCTTTGTCACTGCATAAAATCTACAGAATGACAACACTGAATGTGAGGAGCAATAGCCTCTTCATTTAGTTCATTACTAAATATTTTTAAAGTACATAAAGCCAGAAATAGTTCCTGGAGTATGACAATATTTTTTTAAAGATATACTGAATCACATGAGAGATGCTTTTCTTAACTCTTTTCTATCAGTTTTTCAGTTTGAATATTATATTACTGTATGTATTTCCATCTTTAAAATGCTTTATCATAAGTCACTGATTAATAAAATTTGTAAAATTCAAGACAAATACACATTTATACAGTATATGTTGCAATCAACACTATTTACTTTTAAAGTTGATTGATTATATAAACATAGTTCACAATTATGAAAAATAAATTTTTTATATACCACAGCAAACATGCAAAATTTAATCTTAAATATGAATCATACTATAATTGCTTGATTGTTAAAATGAGCCGAAGGAAACAAAAAACAAGGATCCTGCAGAGAACAAGAAATTGTGAAAGCAATCGTAGAGGGAAATAATTGTTACATTTGTGATTCTTTCAATTATGGATTATGGAAACGACTGCAAGGCAACCTCTTCAGTTTCAAGACAGCATGGGGCTTTATATAATAAGCCTCTGAATAAAGGAACTATTATCAATAGCGTTTGCAATGTAATTGGCTGCCTTTGAAGCTAAAGAGGTCTTTTTTGCTTCTCAGATTAGATTCCTCACTATATTTTAAAACATTGGCATTCTGTCCAGCTGTTTAACCTCCATTTATGTTCATAGATTCTCTGGAGGATAGTGCATACATGTTTTACTAGAGCCAAGCAACAGTTTCACAAGGGAGGAATAAACCTTACAAGAAGCCCAAAATCTGTTAAGCATCCGTAAGTTTATGTGTTTATCTAACAACATGTCTACACTGCACATTTACCTTATTATAATTACATTTAACATTAAAAGGACCATCACCTCCAACCACAAGTAGAATTTATTAAGTCCTCAAACAAAGCAAGCCTCTAAAGCCTGGTCCATTTGCCAGAAATAGTACTAAGAAAGATGTATTCCCTGTTTAATGATTTTTCTAGAAAAAGCTTTGGCTTAAACAGACTTCAGTCGAGTGAAGTCTGATGTTCTCTAAGGTATCTGTCCCCACAGAAATAGCAGACTGCATTGATGACAGCTTGAGAAATTCTTCTTCCACTTCCCTGGTTTGGAGTAGCCAGAAAGGAGGAGGCCTACTAGTACAATACTAAAAAGAGGGAAGAAAATAATGAAAATGTACATCTCATCGCTAGATCAAGAATTTTAGTGAACTAAGTATCTTGAAGGTAAAATTAGAGGAGAGAAACACTCATTTCAAGCTAATGTTAATGATCCATCCCTTTGGTTCATCTTTAATCCCTGCCATAGAAGTCTCTGCCATTCAATCAGTAACATCAACACAAAAAAGTGTCAAAAGAGAGTGGATTATTAAAGACTACAATATTTAAAGGGCATCACACTGGTTACCAAAATAAAGTGTCCCACTGTGATATCACCGCAAGTCACTGACCACTTTGATTGGTTTACTAAGACTATTTGTTTTCCCTAGATTATTAGTGTTCATCTAAAAACATTTGGAAGAAAGCAAAAATAGTTCTGGATGGTATGACCTCAATCATGTTTTTCAGTCCCTACAGGAGTCTTTCTGCCCTCACACCGTTCCTTTTGCTGCTGTACCCATGCTCTGCTGGCTCTGAACAAAGATGTTATAATTTTAGAGATATTAAAAGTCTCTCAAAATACCACCCCATGAAATCCAATATTAGCAAATTCCTACTTTTGTGTCTTTCCCTGTACCTCAAAGGATTGATTCTAGGAAGCCTTTATTAAAATACAAAAATGTTACTAGAAAACCTAATACTTTATCATTGTCTATGATAGCCACACCAACTTTATAACTTCATAAGCTCTTTTTTTAAAATGCCTTAAATAAAGAGGATTGGTTTTCATATATTCAAGCATATATTGTCAATCAGCCACAATTGGGCTAATTGCTGGGAGTCTCAAGATAAATTTTTTAAAATATCCTGACCCTTAAGAAGCTTACTGTGAAGTGAAAAAGTGAACATACATACAAATAATTTTACTGCATGTAATAAGTGAGCCTGAGTAAGGAACCATTCGATAATAAGTAACAGAACTTCAACTGGAACAGTTAAATAAGTTATTAACATACATTGTTAAGAGTATCTAACAAGCAATTGCAGCCTCAAGAGGAACTCAGACAACAACTAGTAAGCCAACAGAAACCAAGAAAGTGCCCTATTCCTTCTGTCTTACTGCCCCCAGGGGTTTCTCACATATGTTTTTGTCCTATAACCTCCTCCATTTTCCTACCTTTTTCTGCAGATCAGCTCTCTTGGCTTACACATATGCCGCACTAACCCTTAAGACTGTATGACCATATTTCTCCAACACCCATAGTCAACTAATTCACTCTCTTGGTGTCTCTGTATCAATTCCTTGGAAAGAAAATCTGACATAATCCACCCCTAGTTCAAGGATAGATTATCTTAAAAGAAAGTGTGATGATGAGGTGGTGTGGTCATTGCCTTCTCCTATACAGTAATTTCAAGGTAATCCTTGAAGGAAAGGTAGACAACTTTCAGAAAAACAAAGGTGAAAGTGCAAGCCAAGCACACTAAGTCATATTTAAAGGCATAAATGGAGCAAAGAAGCCCATATAAATACTCATACATTAAGATCCATAGTCAAGAAATAATCTATAAAGCTAGTAAGATAGCCATGGACAGATAACAAAGTGTTTTATTTTTATTAGAAGTATATATTTTCAATACACAATAATTACATTCACTTTGGAGAAATGGTATATATACATAACAAATCTCAACCACCTTTCTTATCAAATTCTCAACCCCAACCTTTCTTTCTTTCTCATTCCCTAGACCTCCGTTTGATTTCCACAAAGTCTACCTTCCTGGTTCCTCCTAACTCATTTTTATTTTCATCTTTAAATTATTCATATTTGGGGTCTCTCATACAAGTGAAGCCATGCAATATTTAACCTTCTGTGTCTGATTTATTTCACTTAGCATTATGGTCTCAAGAGCCACCCATTTTCAGATTCTATCTTACTCCAGTAAGAAGAGCTATCATCAAGAACTCAAAACACAACAAAAGCCAGTGAAGTTTGGAGGGAAAAGAACCATTCTACATTGCTGGTTAAAATGCAAACTAGTACAACCATTATGAAAATCAGTACAGAGGTTCGCTTAAAAACTAAAATAGAAATTTCATTTTACACAGCTATATCTCTTTTGGGTATCTTCCTGAAAGAGTTATAGTCATCAGTGATTCTT